TCGCCCAAAAATGTGTGTCCATGTTTCCTAGACCTTCACAAAATGATTATAGGAATGAAACTCAGCACAAACATTGTTATCCTAGGTTAGTTTAGATACACGACAAATTCTTGGTAATTTTAGGGACATGTAGAACATCCTTTTAACTATAACTTGTTATGAGATAAAGAAGGTAATAGAGTGTTGCCAATATGAGCAATTTGAAGTTGAGTACCATCTCCAACTTTCAAGGTTTCCTTACCATTATATTCAAAGTTCTGGTTTAGATTTTCATGATGAAATGTGATGTGGATGTGGGCCCGCTATCAGCATACCATAATGGGTCTGTGACAAACATCTTAGGTGTTGCTATGTATGCTGTTCGACTTCCACTGTCACTTGGATTGCTTCCCATGTTATCTTTCTTGAATCAATGGTAACATATTGCAACACTGTGGCCATATTTCATACATACTTTATCCTTTGATACAAGTCTTTGGAAGGGGATTGGTTGAAGTAGACTCTGATACCAGCTCTTCATACTTGATTGAAATAAATAAAGATTTGAATCAAGTATGAAAAGAAGAGTTGTAACCTGTAGAAGATGTTCTTGTTTTATTTCAAGAGGAAAGCCAGACAATGATAAAGTTTGGTAAGGACCCTAGTTTTGTCCTAAATAGAGTCCAAACGATGGTGAAGAGGACAATGGCAGAGACTCCATTCAGATGAAGAAGGGGTAGAAATGTCACCTTTCTTGAAAGAACTCATAGCTACTCTGAGGGAATGGGATCTCTATAATATGCCAATACCAAAATGTAACCATGGTGGGAAGGCTTCAGTTGGTAAAGTTAGGCTTGGACATATCATGTTAAGGTATCTATAAAAGAATAAATTTACCATAGCCTATCATCTTAAGCTTTTGGGTGTATTAGTGATTTCACCCGGTATTAGAGCAGGAGATCCTGTGTTTGAACTTTTATTTCCTTCCCATTTAATATTGATTGCCACAAGTTGGGCCTTGTGCAAATTTCCAAGCTCACAAGTGAGGAGGAATATTAAAGTATCTATAAAGATTAAATTTACCTAATCCATCAGCTTAAACTTTTGGGTTGATTGGTGATTTAACATATTATTTATCTCTCATATGCCGACGATTCTATATAGTTTTATTGTATTGTGACAATGAAGAAAAACTATAAAGTTGGTGAAATTAATAAACATATTCAGAGTTGCTCTAAATATAAATATGACGATAAGGCATAAGTTCTATTTTTGGAGTAAATATTGAGGTGGCGGAAAGATTTGGTTGCAAATAGAAGCTTTGTACCTCTTTCCAAGGAAAGCCAAAATCTGTTGCCTTCTGGGAAATTTTGGTGGGGAGAGTCATTGCTAGAATGACAATGACTAAAGAGTATCCCATTCTCAAAGGAGTAGGCTAGCTTTCTAGGAGCTTCCCAACCTCTCTCTCTTCTCAGAATTCCAGGTAGCCAAATAAAGCTGGAAGATTTGACAAAATTATTAGGGATATGATGTTTGAAGGCGCTGGTCTTGAGGGAGGGAGCCACCTTGTGTATTAGAAATTGACCCGTCTCCCTCAAAGTTTGGAATGGCTTAGAATGGGATATAATAGAAAAGATACTGCATAATGGTTTAGGAGATTCCTGATAGGATTCCCTATCAAGAACAACCTTAAAAATGCAAGGCAAATCAACTAGTGGATGACCCATTCGAGAGGGTCATATAACTCTCCATGCTTCTGTAAGAAAACACACAAAATACACCAGATAATCAAGTCTGTAACCCAGAAGCAACATAATAAAGAAACACCAACAAAACCCATAAAACTACTTATGGGAGCTGTAACTTCCCTAATACCAAGAAACCAAATAAAACAGTCAATTCTAAAAGTGGTGTTTTGCTCTTATGTAAACCTTTTGAATTGGAGGTCTAACAATTCCTCAACAAGAATCCAAAGAAATGCTTTATAGGGAGGAAGGTTATATCCTAAAAAATTATGACATTGATTTCCATGCTTGGCATACAAGAACCCACTGGAAAGTTCTAAATGTCCATGGTCGGTTATCACTAAATGTTGGGACGTCAAAATTGCTCCTCTTTTAATCTGAGAACTGGCCATAAAAGACTTCTGGCGGGTGGATAAAATATTCAGACATGACAATTTGGCTTATAAATTTATTAGATTGAGAACAGGAATGAACATTGCTTCAACTAGCTTGAAAGAGGTGGTTATCAATCAAAGTAAAGATTGTCCGATTTTGAAGTTAGTTAAATAGCTCTGGGTTGTTTTCTTGAAGATTTGCTGCTAGTTATAAAAAGAATCAAGTTCTTTCTGTAAACTGTTGCATGTAGAAAAGACTTAAGTCTTAATACTTACGACAGATTGCAGAAGATAAATCGAGAGCTCCAAATGTCACCACATATCTGCTTTAATCGTTGTATATCATGTACGGACAATGAAACCTTTGACCATCTTAAAATTCACTGCAATTTTATTATCAGAAGTTGGAATTTTCTATGCAACATTTTAATTTTGCCCTAAAGATACAATTGCTTTGCTCCAGGATATCCTGTTAAGCTGTTCGATTGAATGGTGAGTCTTGAGTGAAATAGATGAATATTTCAAAAGCTATTCTTTAGTCCCTTTGGTAGGGGGAAAAAAACTTTGTGATAAGTATAGAGATTTTGTGTCAATTTCGTCCAAAAGCTATTCTTTTGTTTCACTCTCCTTCTTGTGTCCTTATTCTTTTAGAAAATTCCACGGGTTGTGTATATGGACTAGCTAAACCTAAATAAATATACTGAAAGGGTGTTGTAGACCTGCTAGATAGTTCACTTGTTTCCTTTCCCAGTTTTCATTGGCTGCCTCTTTCAGTTGGTTGATCCTGTTCAAATCTACTTCAGTTCGTGTCATATTTATTTATGTTGGAATAGAGATTGGTTCTCTTTTTATAATCTTTTTTTCATTCTGGATACTTTTGATTTATTTTAGGTTTATTTGCTATGTCATAATTCATCTGTACGATACCGCGTAGTGTGGTCTCATAAATAGCAGGGACTCAAATGATATGCAATACAATGAATATTTGATATCCACATATCGAGCATGTAATGGTGTGGGAGTAGTTTTTCTTGGCAACTAATAATGACTTTTTCTACATTCATTTTAATATTGAGTACCTTTGTCTGATTTGACAGAGAATTACTTTAAAAGAGATCAAGAGTCACCCATGGTTCTTGAAGAACTTGCCAAGAGAACTCACCGAAGCGGCTCAAGCAATGTACTACAAGAGAGACAACCCAAGCTTCTCTCTTCAAAGTGTTGATGAGATTATGAAGATAGTGGGGGAAGCTAGAAACCCTCCGCCAGCATCGAGAACCATCAAAGGTTTTGGATGGGCAACAGAAGATGACGAAGAAGGGAACGAGGACCTCGATGGAGAGGTGGAAGATGAGGAGGAAGAAGACGAATATGATAAGAGGGTGAAAGAAGTTCATGCCAGTGGAGAATTCTTAGTCAGTTAGAAAGTAAAGTTATCCCCATCCAGTTACTATTCATTCAGGTTTGTGTGCTTAGATTGATTGCATATGTTGTCGTCCTGTGTACAGTCTGTTAATATCTATAGTAGCACACCACAGTCGTATTTCTGCAGACTTGAAGGTCGAAGTTTTTCCATATATAGTTTGTTGATTGAGGGTCTGCTCTGCTTGTGTAGGTCGATGGTTTTCATTTTTGTTGGTCACTCAAATGTATGTTGAAGCTATAAGCTATATGTGTTATTGGTATAATTCAAAGTAGGTGGGCTTTTTGGTGTGTAAACCTTCAGCTTACTACTCATTGATAATGAATGAAAGAATAGGTGCGATGGGATGTGCCGATCTGTATATAGCTTGGTGTGTAAGATACTTATTATCGCCTAAAAAGTTGATGGTTCGATCCTGACTTCTGAAATCGTTTGAACTCCAAAAAAGAGAAAAAATGTTTGAAGAGATGTGCATATCTCCTCTAAAGTAGATGGTATGTAGATTCAAGGAAAATTTGAGTGGTAGTTATAATTAAAATATGTTTTTTTTTTCTTTTTATAAATGCAACTGTAAATAGTGAAATTTCACATTCTAACATAAATAATTTAATATGTGACATTTTTAATGTTTTTTTTTAATATTACATTGTAGTCTGATTTGGATTATTCTATTATGGTAAAATTTTGAATTTCTAATGTGTAGGAAATATATATTTATTTTATGATATTTAGGTAATATAAAAACACATAAAAAACATGCTTGTATATGTGTACTTTGTGAAATTACTTTTCCTAAAAGATGTTCTCCCAAGGACGTTCTTCTCAACATTTTGTTCAAACTTGAAGATGAACCGCTCCACCAAATCCTCTCACTCCTCACCGTGTCGAGTCGACGACTCTGTTTCCCACCGATGGATTGGATATATGTTGTCTAAACTTTGTAATGTTAAATTATACTTCAATAATATTGTTTTGTGGATAGCTTATAGTGTTACGAATGATATGAAATAGAATATTTTTGGTATATGTTGCATATGCTTTGTAACATATATATTTTATAACCTAATAGTTTAGTATATATCAATAAGAGATATAACTACTATATATCTTATTGGACGGGTATATATTTATCATATTGGATATTTGATTAAAAGATATATATTAATAATAGTTGTCGGAAAAGGTAATTAAGCTGCCCAAAAATAGAAATAAGCTGCCGGAAATATCATGGGTCATCGAAATTTTGATTCACTGAATAACCAACGGGTGGTCGAAAAATAGATTTAATTCGCCGGAAAAATGTACGTGTCAGACGGAAATTGGAATGAATTGCCGCCGGAAAGGTTAAAATTGAATGAACATAGCCGCCGGTGCAATATTGGAAAAAAAAAAAGTGCATCAATATTAAATCTAGGTTATTAAAATACAGGATAAATCCCATTAAATTGAAAGATTTAGCATTTAATATAAACATTCTATATTAATTAACAAATATAACATTAATTGTAAATCCTTACGTGTAAGGAAAAAATTATATAATAAATGAAACAGTTGGTATTATTAGAGCAATTTGGAGACCAAAAATTGTAATTCGATTTGTAAATATTTAAAATAATGAATATTTAATATATATCATGCATTATTTGACCCACTAGAAATAATTTATGTAGAAATTTTTTGAATCGGAGTTGCTTTGGTTTTTTTTTCTCTAAAATAAAAAATTCGATTCGGTTTGCAGAAGTATTTTTTGATTGGTTCAACTCTAATAGAACCAAACCAAAGGTTTTTAAATATATATATGTTGTGGGCAAAGAAGTGGATGTTTTTTTTTTCTTTTGAGTACAACATGTGGTGTTGGATGGGAGATCGAACTCACAACCTCTTAGTTTATGCTCGTTTTGCCAGCAAGGCAGGAGAAGTTATCAAGGTCTAAAATTTCATTAATTATAAAATACAAATTTTGTAATGGTCGAAATTTATTAGCAAAGCAATTGTGTTTGGGCAATTATGGGCAAAAATGTGTCCATTTCAGAGAAGATAAGGGGTTGAGGCATTAACGAATGAGGGTCCACCAGTAAAGCAAACAATTCCTTTTAGCATGCAAAGCAACTGTGAGCGTGTTATAATCAATTGTGATGCCGCTTGCCACATCTATTTCAACGTCCTGAGTCACCGTTATGATTTGAAAAGACTCACACCCTATTGCTTTCGCTATGTCTTGATGCTTCGAAGTCGGTTACGCTCCGCTACATGCAGAGCTTCTAGCAATTTGGGACGGACTTCGACTTGTATTGACATTGGAAATGCCAAAGATTATTGTTACCAAGCAATTCGGTTACTAAATGAGGAGGAGATAAATAGAAGCGAAACTGCTATCTAAGCTTCAGACATCATTTAGTTGGAAGAGTTTTCTTGATCAAATTTCTTTTCATGTGAAGCGTGATTTAAACTCAGCTGCTAATCGAATAGCAAAATAAGCTTTATCTTCCCGTCAAATAGCAAAAGAAGCTTTATCTTCCCGTTCCTTCTTTTATGGGATAACCTTTTTCCTTGGTGGCTTCTTAAATATTTGACCGACAGTCTGTCTAAATGTAGCCCACGTGGCTTTTGATTCCTTCAAGTGAAAAGAGAAAGATTTTTTAAAATATTTACTTGCCCTGAAATTTTTTGTTTTTTGTTTTTTGTTTTCTGTTCAGAGTGCTGGACTCCAACTCTGCTTCAAGCATTCTCTAGACATAGGGAAGAAATGTCCCTTGGGACTTCTTTTCTATCTTACTTTAGCATTTTTGGTACTTCTTCTTCTATGATGCATCTCCTCAAAATTTGGTCTGCTCCCAATTTAAGTATGTACGAGCCATGAAGGTGGTGGCACTTGCTGCTGCAGCACACACCTATAATAATAAAACTCCATAATCACCTGTTTGGGGGTAAAAATACCAAGGACACGTGGAGGACACTTATAAGTGTTTGAAGACTTGAATAAAAGAAATTGCACAGGTCCACCTTGGCACTGCCGAGGTGACCGGGTTCACCCATTACAAAAAAGGCCAAGTATAGACGCCAAGGTTCAACCTGGTTGGGGTTCGATTTGCTCGGAACCCGACAGGTCCGACATGAGAAAAGACATATAACCGCCGGTCGTGTGTACTGTCGGATCCACCACCTATAAATAGAGGGCTTCATTTCACGCTTAGGTATCGAATCTCACCTCGAACTAAATACGGAACCCGACCTATACTGACTTGAGCGTCGGAGTGTTTACCCTCTTGTGCAGGTCCACTCTAAGTGTTCAGGTCGTGACCGGAGACCGGGTTCGAGCTTGATTCGTGAAGAACCGTTGTGCAAACTCTTGCATTAACATTTGGCG